GCCAGGTGGCGGCGGGGGGGGGTGGCGCGGGTGGAGAAGGTGGCTGATTGGAGCCCTGCTTGGGTTTGGATTGATTTGTTGCTTGCTTTGGGTCCAGGGCAGGGGGTTATGAAAAGCTGACACAACTGTTCACTACTATAACCCCAGGACCCAGCACAACACCTGGGACAGAGAAGATCCTCAACAAGTAATTTTTGAAAGAATACTTCTTTTTTTTTTAACTTTTTTTTTTTAATTCATTCGAGATACAGAGAGAGAGAGAATATGAGCAGGGGGAGAAGCAGAGGGAGAGGGAGAAGCAGGCCCCCCGCGGAGCAGGGAGCCCAATGCGGGGCTCGATCCCAGGACCCTGGGATCATGACCTGAGCCGAAGGCAGACGCTTAACCATCTGAGCCGCCCAGGTGCCCCTGAAAGAATACTTCTTAAAGGGTATTTGGAGAGGAGGCTGTTAAAACAACACAGACCTGTATGTCCACACCATTGCAGAAAGACTTTCACTTTCAAACGTGGCCTGGCAGGCCTGCCTACGTGCTGTGACACTTTTCTGAAATGGTAACACGCTCACACAGGATTTCCTAATTGTCTGCTTTCACTTGGAGCTGTTTCACCGTGCTCCTTGCTCCCTAGCATTTACGATTTGAGCACCATCGTGTTCTTCTCCCGCCCCCACCCCCACACTCTCCCTGGCATGGCCCCCACCCCCCACCCAGATCGAATCCAAACGAGTCAGCCCACCCCATGCCAATTCTTGGTCATATTTCCCACCCGTCCACCACCTTTAATGTCTTATGGGGCGTTATGGGGTTCAGGAAAACGGAGGCAAGGCCTCAGGTCTTCAACTCGTGACAGCTGGGACACCCCACTCCCTTCCCCCCACCCTCACTGGGTACCAGAGTGTCTGCTGAGCTCAGAGACCCGCCAGAGCCTGCAGTGCCCCTGGTTCCAGCCATGTCCACCCCAGCGCCCAGGGCAGGGGTCTTCAGAGAGGCCTCGACCTCTCAAGCAGCTGGCGATTGTCTTTCCCCAACCCCCGCCCTGAACGGGACCCAGAGCTCCCTGCACAAACGCTGTCCTTCCAGGAGAGGGTGAGGGAAATGGAAAATTACATTTTCATTCGCTAACGTCTCCACACAACAACAGAACAGGGCAGAAATTAATTATATCATATACATTCTCCACACTGCTGCATCAGCGTTGGAAAACTCATTTTCAAATTTATTTATAGCTTGTCTCATTCCTCAAAGGAGTTCAGGCCGCTGGAAGAATAAGGAATGAAATAGGAAAAAAATAAATTAAAAAAAAATCACGACCAGAGAAAACATGCAGTAGAATAAAATACCAATTATCACACATTTCCGACTGCAAAATCTCCCCTAGAGTTGATGTACCACATTTACTAAAACAGCCATTTGGCATTGGATGTTGCCAGTTTCTTTCGTTTTGGGTGGTTTTTTGCTGTGGTTGTGGTTTTGTTCCGCCGTGACAGACAGCGCTGCAGCTAACAGCATCTTGCTGAGGGCTTTGTGCTTCTCTTGAGTGATTATTCAAGATAAACTCCCAGGAGAGAGATTACAGGATCAGAAGGTCTGAACTTCTGTGTGGCTCTGGCTAACAAAGCACCAGATTGCTTTCTAAGCAGAGTTGTGCCAATTTGCAACCTAACTTCTAGCCTATTCTTGAGCTGGGAGTTGAGCCCCTGGTGTGCAGAGGGGGTCTCAGCCTGGGGCAGGGGGCCTCGGGGTGGCGCTTATTGATGGGGACAGGCAGGAGAGAAAGACGGAGGCCCCTGCCTGAAAGGAGCTTTCGGGAATGACTGGCCCTGGAGGGGATGAGCATGGCTACCCAATGTTTAGAGCCGTATGGTTGGTGATGGTCACAGGTCCAGGCCTGCTGGTGTCCTCCTGTCCCTCCCTCTCCCTAGCCCGATGGCTGTGCTGTGTCCTACGTCCCTGAGCTGGGTCCCTTACACTGTCGGAAACCGATAATGTTTGTACTGCCCCCTGCCAGAGACTGAGGGAGCGCTGCAGCATTGTGGAGGGTACCTGGAGACCATAGCGCCTTCTTCAGGAAGGGCAGTTAAAGGTCAGGTATTATATTGGTGTCGATAAAAAGCCTTGTGGTCAGAGAGATTAGCAGTACCCACAAGAGTGCCAGCTAGATCTCCTCCATGAGATTAGGAACTCCCCAATGGCTGGGGCTGTTTCCCTCATCAGATTAGGAATTCCCCCCCCCAAATGGGCCCAATATCTTTCCTGTCTGCTGGGGAACCCCCTAGAGCATGTTGCCTGTCTCCCCATCATAACAGGGGCTTCCTGAGAGCATAGTTCTGTCCCCTTCCTCAGACAAGGACCCCCTATGGCCAGAGGCCATGCTCTTGCATTCACTTGGGGTCCCACACCTCCAGAATGCGCTGTGTATGTACTAGCTGGTACGGGATTCTTGGAATAAGTGGACAGTCAGCCTCTTGGAATGGTGTTGACCATCTGTAATGCTTCAGTGGCTCCAGAGACTTCACCATTCATTAGGTAGGGGCCATGTGCACAGGCTGATCCCTTGGCGTCTGGCTCCTGGCTCCTGGCTCCTTCTCGTTTAATTTGGCTAATTATACAACCAGACTCCTATCTAGGCTGGTCTGGAAGAGGATCCTGGAAGGAAGGAGGAGGACATGGGAAGATGGCAGCTAGGATAATCATCTCTTACTCCAGGAGGGCTGCTCTCTGGAAATTTAGGCCTGGGGTCAGGGCTGTCTCCAGCATCTCACACCTTGGGCCAGAGGAGCGTGACCTGCCAGAGCTAAGCTAGTAGCCTGTGAGGTGTGATATTCAGGCAGCATCCCGGGCTCACAGAGCCTATTCCATACATTATTATCCCCTCTTACCTTGGAAGAAGCCAGAGTATGTGAACAAGTAAATTCAAGTTTACAAAAATCAGGTGAAGAAACCGAAGCGCAGGAGAGGTAAGTGACCTGCCTGAGGTCAGGGTCTCCACCCTTCTCTGACTTGAAGTCCGGCTCTCTTTTCTCTCTGGAATCCCTATGAAGGGTCCAAGGGCCACAGCAAACCAACTGCCCACCTGGGCATGGACGCTAAGCCTTAGAGCCAAGGGAGACCCTCTTTTAAGCTGTCTCTAGTTACTAATACCTCAGTGTGAGTGAGTTTGAAATCCTTCCCAAGAGCCTTGAGAGGTTAGCAATCCTCTAAGCCTCAGAGAGAACCTGGCTTGAGGGCATACAGGGACCAAAGGCAGAGGAAGGGGTAGCAACCTAGTGCCCCCAGAAACACATGCTGCTGACCTCGCAGTTGCCCAGAGACAGTCAACTCTCTGATCCTTCTCTCACCACTTTGCACAGGGCTTCCTTCACACTGGCCCCCGGGAGCAGAATAGAAGCACTGAAGCTTCTGTCTAAAGGCGGGGTCTCAGACACAGGGGACAAGAGTCCTGAGGGAAGCAGGGTAAAGAGCTGGAGGGACCGCAGGGCTGGAGTTCTGCCCCTCCCCTGCCCAGCTCTGCCCTGCTGGCTGCAGAAAGGACCCCCTGGGCCGCACTCCCTCTGGGCCAAACTGGGCAGCTTCATTTTTAGCGATCTCATCTCTCCCACTAACCTTCCCTTGTGCTTCCTCCACAGTTTTCATGAACACGGCCATCCCCATCGCAGCTGTCCTCATCGTAAGTGGATCCCTTCTCCATATCTGGCTGGGGTGGGTGGCAGAGCATATCTGTAGCGAGAGGCCACCCAGGGTTTGACCTTTCTGCACAAGGACTTTGGATGGTGTGCTTGGCAGCGGGACTGAAAATAGGGCAATAGATTGAAAGTCTGTATGCGGAGCAGGTCCCTCCCTGCAGACAGGCAGGGGACAGGGGCCCCTGCCTCTGGGCCCGGACTGACCAGCAGCTTAGGCTTTAAAGAGATCTCACTGTCTTTTCAAAAGAGCTATCAAACTCTTAAATTATAAAAGTAAGACGTGTTTATTGCAGAAACGTTGGGAAATTCAGAAAGGAAAGGACAAAAAGAATTTAAATCACCCATAATCCCACTGGCAACATCTTTATGTGTTTCTTTCCAGTCCCTTTTAAAGGCATATAATAGTCATATTATATGCCATATTATTTTTACAAAAATAGGATTGTGCCATACATGCAGTTTTTTGAAATTTAAGAACATGGCGCGAACAAGTCTCTGTGTCATTAAATATTACAATGGAGGTTTTCTAAAGCGATTTTGACCCAAGCTGTGTGGGAGCCCAGCAGTGGGGTCCCAAGGTGTGCCCCTCCAGAAAGGCCCAGGCCCCCACCAGCCCTGGGCTCCCATCCGGCTTCTGTGATGGCCACAGTTCTTTAAAAAGATGCATTTGCTCCCCCCACATCTCCCCTCACCGGGGCCGGTGTCCCTGAGCTGTGGCGAGTTCACAGCCTGTCAGGCACCCTTGGGAATTCACTTTTGACATGATTAATTGGGCTGGGTCTGACCTGGCTCCTTGGGGAACTCTGGGTAACAGAGGCTGTTGAGCCGGCCAGGTAGCCGGGGGCGGGCACAGAGAGGGGGTGGTTTGGGAATGATCAAGTGGACATTTTCCCCAACTGAGGACTGCTGTCTGAGGGGACAGAGCTGACCTACCCCGAGGGCTCCTCTCTGGTCATTCCTGGCAAGGAGGGGGCAGAACAGGGGGCAGCAGCTCTGGCCCTCCCGCTTGAAGTCCTAAACTTGCTGGAGACGTTTCCAGGAGGTGACTGAAGATGATGAAGGGGTCTCGAACTGCAAGTTCTCCTTGGGTCCCCCGTTCCAGCCCAAGGGCTGAGCACTGCCTGTGTGGGAGAGGCCCAGGCTCTGAGTCACACACGTCCCGTGTGCCTCCGTCCACAGACCTTCGTGGGCCACGTCAGCTTCTTCAAAGGGGCCGACTTCTCACCCTCAGTGGCCTTTGCCTCCCTCTCGCTGTTCCACATCCTGGTCACACCACTGTTCCTGCTGTCCAGCGTGGTCCGGTCCACAGTCAAAGCTCTCGTCAGGTGAGAGGAGAGTCCGCAAGGACACTGGACAGGCGCTCAGGTGGTGGCCCCAGGGCTTGCGCCAGTGACCACGGCAACTACAGCTGTTTGGTCCAAGACATGCTTCCCCACTGACCTGGGCCTCCCTGAAGGTGGTCAGAGTTGGCCAGAGGGACTTAGCCATGTGCAGCTCCCCTCCACGCCATCCCTGAGAAGGAATTAGGCAACTGGCTTACGTACCTCCAAGGAGAGGGAACTCAATGGCACCCACAAGACAACTCTATTAAAAAAAAAAAAAAAAGGAAAAAAGGCAATGTTGAGCCAGAACTGGTATCTCCTCATAAATTCTACCCATCAGCAGTGGTTCTACCCTCCAGAGCCCCCAGAATGAGCTCTGTGCCTTCCCGCATGGCAGCCCCTCGGATTTCAGAAGGTATCCACTGAATCTTTGTCTTCCTCAGGCTGAACATCCCCTCTTCTTTCCACGGGTCCCAGAGCCTTCCCAACCCTGGTCAGTAAAGCAGCTTTCCCCTAAGTGCCTGCATGTCCTGTCCCCCGTTAACTTGCAGCTCTGGGAGGCCCCTACTGCTGGGCTCTAGAGCCTTGCAGCCGCTCGCCCAGAGGCATCACCCTCTCGGGAATGAAAACCTTAGGGTAGAGGGCTGAGGTTTTGGCTGGGGAATTCCATACCTGGAGTGTGAAGATCTCCTGGAACCTCTAAAACAGTTCCTTGAAGGCTAGGGCTTGGCATGCCTCTGGGGAGAGCTGGCTATGCCACCTCCCATTGTCAGTGGGACCAGCCGGTAACAAATGTGCTCTGTACCTGAGCCCCTTCAACCTTGAGGAAAGTGACATCCCCTGACGCGTGGGACCCTAGCAGGTCCTAGGCAAGCTGGCAAGGTGAAATAGCTGTTGGAACCAAGTCGCTGATGGAAGGAGCAACTTACTCGAGGAAGCTCTGACCAGGGTTCAAGGCTAGAAGGGAGCATAACTCAGCAGAATTGTGGTCAAAGGAGCATATAACTAGGGGGCAGTTAAACCAGGGCTGGGAAAAGATTAGCTCCCATGTCCAGGCTTGGCTGTGCTGATTCAGTTTAATTGGCCATGGCATTGTGACTTCTAATGATCACCCCTCCTCGCCCACCCCCACCCCAGCCCAGCTCTGTGATTCTGTATAGAAACCCCGGGTTCGAGGATGCCACCCCTGTTGGAAATCCCTTGTGCTGACCCAGAAGCATTTCCATATGCAGAAACTCCTAATCTCACTCTCACCAGACTATCTGAGGCCTTCTCCTCCTTGAGTTGGGAATAATGACACCTTCCCCAGCGGGATTTAATTATATGCTTATAAAGCATTTAACGCAGTGTCTGGCCTATAGTACGTGCTCAATAAATACTAGCTATTGTTAATAACCAATTCCAATCCTAACTAACCTTAACACTGACCAACCTTAACTCCAAAAGTAACTGATAAAGTCCAACACCAATGACCCAGCTTTAACATTTAACCTACCCTAAAACTAACCAATCTCACCCTAACCCAGACCCTAACCCAGGCCTGCTGACTGGTCAACCCTAACAAATACAGGTAACACCGACTACCCACCCCGGATGCCCGCTGGTCTGGCCCCCTCCAGTGTGGGCTTTGCGGGGACAGCACCGCAGGACCCAGAACCTTCTCAGAGCTGCTCTCTCAGGCTGCGCCCTCCTCCCTCTCCCCTCCCCTCTGCCCCTGGCAAGGGTGAGGGGTGTCTCTGTGCTTCCTCTGCAGTGTACAAAAGCTGAGCGAGTTCCTTTCCAGTGCCGAGATCCGCGAGGAGCAATGTGCTCCCCGCGAGCCTGCGCCCCAGGGCCAAGCCAGCAAGTACCAGACAGTGGTGAGTGCCTGCCATCCCCCAACCACTCTCAGTGTTTTTCTCTAGTGCCTGTAGCTTGTGCCCTGGTGTGTCCTGCCTCCACCTTTCCTCACTGGAAGGGGGAACTCCCTTCCCTGCACAGCTCCCACCCCTATGAACCCTTACCTCCTCCTGACCATTCCCAGCCCCTTAAGGTTGTGAACCGCAAGCATCCAGCCCGGGAGGACTGTCGGGGCTTCACGGCCCCCCTGCAGAGGCTGGCCCCCAGTGCAGACGGGGATGCTGACAACTGGTGTGTCCAGGTGAGTCCTGGACCTTACACCCCAATACCTGGCCCCCCAGCACCATTCCAGGAGGGAGCTCAGCATCAGAGATCTATGTGCTGAGTCCTCTGCCGTGGAGGTCACCCTGCCTGCTGGGAGGGTTCATTGCAGTCCCGAAACCAGGGACAAGTCTTCCTTCTCCATTGAATGGGGGAACGTGTGATTGTCCTCTTGGAGAGGGTGCTTCGGGCAGGGGTCAGCATGAGAAGGCCGTCCCCCCTCTCCCCTGCCCTAGAAGTGATCCAGGGCCTGAAATCAGTGTTTTTTGGCTTTTGTGGGGGAGGGGAGGCAAGAGACTTTCACACGAGAACCCAGCTGCCTTTCTGTTCTCTTCCGGGCGGTGGGGTACCACCAATAAAGATCATTGGAGGCTTCTTCACGTGGACCCCTGATGGAATCCCCACACTGTCCAACATCACCATCCGCATCCCCCGAGGTACGGCCCAGCTCACCTCTTCAGCATGGTCTGGGGGTGCCCCCTCAGAGTCATAGCTGAAGTGCCCCCTCCCCATGTCCACTGAATGACAGGGAGAGAAAAAGAAAAATCGGCATGTACTGAGTACCAGCTCAGTGCTCACTCCTGGTGGGTACTCTGGGGTATGAATGCTGCAGAGGGGTAAGCTGCGTCCTCTAGGAGTCCATGTGCAGGTGGGAGTGCAGCAGCAAGGACAGGACAAGACAGCAGGACCAACCATCTGTTGCAGACATGCGGGTGCTTCACAACAAGAAGAGCAGTCCTGAGTAGCCAGGGAAGGCGCTATGGAAGAGGTGGGGTTTCTGAGAATGAGCAGGATCCCTCAGGCCATGAGGCACGGTGGGCATCCTGGCAGAGGCAGTGGCATGAGCAAAGCATGCAGGTGGGATGGAGATGGGAGCCAGAGTGGCCTCTGTTGGGACTAGGAGGAGCTGGGCTCGCGCTAGGGAGCCCTAGCAAGGAGAGCAGCGAGTGCTTAGGAAGGAGCAGGAGACCACTGGTGCAGGAAGGACCTGGGAGGGGTTCCAGAAAGAAAGGCTCAAAGGGGGATTCTAGGTAGGAGGAAAGCAAATGGGGGTCCCAGGTTCGGGTGTATCTGTCTGTGTGTCTTTCTGGGTGGTAGTCGTTCAGACTCCCTCCTGCCCCAGTCCCATCTGCTGCCCGCCCTCCCCGCAGGCCAGCTGACCATGATCGTGGGGCAGGTGGGCTGTGGCAAGTCCTCGCTCCTCCTAGCCACCCTAGGGGAGATGCAGAAGATCTCAGGGGCCGTCTTCTGGAACAGGTACTAAATGCATCCTCAGGGCCAAGTTAATGGGGAGAGCAGACGGTGGGCAGGTGGGCAGCCTTTCTTTCAACTATCCTCAAGGGAGGGTGCATCATGCACTTATTGGGTACTCAACTAATGCTGTTCATTGTTATTCTCACCATCATCATTAGTACTTACTAATGTGCCCAGTACTTTGCCAAGTCCTCTGCATGCATTATTTCATTTGATTCTTATGACAACCAGCAAGGTAAGGACTGTCAACAGTTCTTGTTTTATCCATGAGGGTTAAACTCTTTGCCCAAATTCACTCAGCTAATAAGTGGCTGAGCTGGAACTCGAACTCAATTCCATTTGACTCCAAATTTCATGAGCGCTCAGCTACACTGCCTTCCTGTGTGGGGGATTACGGCACAAACATTGGTTTCCGGCTTGGTCATCAGCAAAACCAACACAGACTGCTCAGTGGGTGTTTTGAGGAGCCAGAGATAACCCAGACAGACGTGGGTTTCTGGACAAAGATCACTATCTTAATGAAAGAGCCAAAACCCCAGGTTGAGTCAATCATGAATCTATTATTTATACCCACGTACTTCCAAAAAAAAAACCACTTGAAACTAGTTGATAAAAGATACATATAAAATAGAAGCTTTTTTTAAAAGCAAAGAAGAGCTGAGAAGTGAAGAGGGTGGGAAAGGTGTACAGAAGCCTGGGTGGGGCCTAGCTGGGGCCCTCTGCCCCCACGCCCACAGCCCAGGGCAAGGGGGACCTGACAGGTTTGTAGAGCCCATTCAGGAATAAAGTTTGCTGCCAATCCAGCAGAGGACAAGCAGCTTCCTTACAATCATGTCTAGGGGGAGATTATCATTCAAGAGGTCAGGTTTTTCATAAACCTGAGAGCAGAACTGAGCAGAGAGAAAGACCTTGGGCCCAGTGTCTGAATACCTGTAGGGACCTCCATTCCCTGCTTTTCCAAATGTCCCTGAATGGTGCATCCAACAGATGGCAAGGTTCCCTCCTCTGTGGGGCTGTGGGCTGGCAGACAAATGCTTTGGGTTTCCTGCGACTTCAGTCTCTGGAGTCTGAATTCCATCAGGGACAAAAGGGCCTCTGCCTCCATTCCCCGTCTTATTTGGGGGATTTCTCAACACAGCCTGACTGGGGAGGTCTTTGTACCAACTGCCCCTTAGGGCTCTGAAGGGAGGAGCCCTTGCCCATTGGCTGAGAGTGTGTATCTGTGAATGGAAGATGGGATTATGGGGCCCAGAGATTGGGGCTGCCCCTGGATTCTTGGGTCTGTGTCCCACTCAGCATGAGTCAAACCCCCTCTGGGCCTGGTCTCTCGGCCCCACTTTGTTTATCTCCTCCCCCAGCCGCCAACCTCAGGTGCCCTCACACCAGCATCAGCCCCTCTCTGTCCTCTGCACAGGCAGCAGGCCTGCTTGGCAGGGGTTCAGCCCTGCCCTGGCCCCCACCTCTTCTCCAAGCTTTGCCAAACCTCAGGCTCCTGACTACTGTCGCGTCTCTCTTTGGAAGGCTCTGCCCCAGCCTGGGGGATACGAGGGGCCTCTCTAGGGAAGCCAGCATTGAGCAGCACTCATGTGCCAGGCACTGGGCAAGGCACTTTATTTACTTAGTCTCAGTCAGTCTGCACCAAACTCTGTGAGGTAGACATCATTCATCCCACTTAACAATAAGGAAGCTGAGGCGAAGCAAGTGACCGGAGGCCACCCAGCTCTCAAATGGCAGAAGTGGGATTTGTCCCTAGGTGCTCCAGGGCATGGGCTTTCCACTGAGTGCTGAGAGAGAAGGAGCTCAAGAGCAGTGTGAAGAAATCGTTAACCTGACAGTCCCAAAGCCAGC